CTAGATTTAATACACTAGCAGCATTAATCACTAGGAAAATAGATCAGTCTAAGCAACGGACACAAAAGCTCGGACCATTTAACTTATGTTCACGCTACCCTAGAGATGCACGACCCCTAGTTTACTACTAACGAAACAAGACAATAACAATTACGGATTAAAGTCTCGTATCTAGCAGTAAAACTATGAATATTTAACGTAGCTGGCCAGACTAAATCAAACATCATAATTTATAAACATTAAACATAGATAACATGAATCAACTCATCAACAAAAATAAATATGGCGTCTAGATTAATCAACGATAAACAAAGATCCTTCAATTCATAGACAAATTCAAGTTGAGTTCAAACATCCCCTAAAACTGGATAAAAATCTAGCCTAGCATACTGAAAAAAAATAAATAAAAGATAAAAGAGAGAATAGAATTATCCTCTCGTGTGCGATTGCGGCTTCCCTCCGCGTGTGTAGCCTCCCTCACTGTCCGTGCGTTTCTTCTCCCTTCTTGCGTCTCTCTTCCGTGCCTCTTCTGCGTGGCGTTTTCTTTCAAAATAATGTGATGCTGCTTGTTCCTTTCTGCACGGCTCTCCCGTGGGAAAATAATTCCCAATCAAAACATATGTCTCAACCAATAGAATCCCAATAATTAAGTCCTCAAAATGTCCTTTGCTAGTTTGCTGCATGAGTTTTTGTTTCCAGGCCCAACAAATTAAATTTTTGTCCAAGGTTCGAGGCTTTTAATTATTTGTTTCCTCAAAGTTAACCTATTATGATGGCCTTTAGTTAATCTCTTCCAATTTGATAAGCTCCATATAAATTGGGCCTCAACGTAAGTTTCGTCCATAGGTCAAATTAGTGGACATCTTCGTCCAATGTTGCGCGCACACAAATTACTGAAAATAACACATAAAACATTAAAGCAAATAAATCCATCTAAATAATAAATAGGTCGCAAAATACAATTGTGCGAATAAATTAAGTATATAAAAATACACTATTAAATATATAAAACGTACACATTTTTCGACCTATCACCTTTCTTCTTCTCTGTACTTTCTCTCTCTAACTTTGCGTTCATCAGAGTTCAATATGGTATCATTCGCCGGCTAAATCTCGCCGATTCTGTGGTTTTCCGCTGCTAATCTCGATGTTTCTTTGTTTGTTCGATCGATCTTCTTTCTGTGTGTTTTTCGCTTGATTTTTCGCTTGATTTTTCGCCCACTGGGAGCGAAACCCTAGTTTTTTCGTCCAATTTTTCGGATCTGTGTTCTTCTTTCGGATTTTTCTGCGATTCTCAATGGCAACAACGGTTAATCCTTCCGATGATCCTGCATCTCCATTTTACCTGCACGCAAGTGACAATCCGGGTGCCTTGATCGTCGCCGACTCTTTCAACGGCGAGAACTACGTCTCGTGGTCTCGTGCCGTTCTTATGGCTCTCAGCGTCAAGAACAAGATCGGATTTGTTGATGGCTCGCTCTCTGCACCATCGGCGTCTGGTAATCCATCTTTGTACATGTCCTGGTTACGCGCTAATAATTTGGTACTCTCCTGGCTTCTCAATTCTATCTGTAAAGATATACGCCAGTCTTTGTTGTTTTTTACCACTGCTAGAGATGTGTGGCTTGAATTGCAAACTCGTTATGTCCTTAGCAGCGGTCCTAGGGTTTTTCACCTTGAAAAATCCCTTAGTACCATTGCTCAAGGCTCTCAATCTGTTACTCACTATTACAATCTTTTTAAATCATTGTGGGACGAGTATGCTACTTACAGGCCCATTTTCAAATGTAATTGTGGTGCTTTCACTTCATGTACTTGTAATATTTTCGAAGCTATGGCTATATCCCAACATAATGACTGTGTGATGAAGTTTCTGGTTGGGCTCAATGACTCTTACTCATCCCTTAGGAGTCACTTTCTCCTTTCCAATCCTTTGCCACCTCTTTCCAAAGTGTATTCCTTACTCCTTCAGGAGGAAACACAAAGATCTCTCAACAATAAACCTCAATTCCTTGATCCTGTTGCTATGATTGCAAAAACCTCTAATACTCAAACACATCACCATCAATCCTATAACAACCAAACTAACTCTCAGAAACCATCATTCAAGGACAGAAAGAAACTCAAATGTACTCACTGTGGCTATAATGGGCACACAGCTGACAAATGTTTCCAAATTGTTGGTTATCCCTCCAATTGGATTGGCCCTAAAGGTCCCAGAACCACACCCAAACCTTCTGCCTACTTCATTCAAACTGAACCTAATACCACTGAGCCTACAGCCCCTCCAGTTACCTCATCACATACTATCACTGATGATCTATTTCATGAGTTTGTAGCCTTCAAAAAGGCCCAGGAGCAGAACAAACAATCAGGAGTGTCTACTAATCCTGTTGTAGCAACTGCTGTTCACAATGCAACAGGTATCTCTGATCCTATTACATGCTTAGCCACTAGGATTATGTCTAAAGATACATGGATTTTAGATACTGGGGCTACAGATCACATGATATGTGACTTGTCTTTTTTCTGTGCTAAACCATCATCAGTATCTATCAAAATTAATCTGCCTAATGGTCAATTTACAAAAGCATGTTATAAAGGGGATGTTCAATTGTTTGATTCAATAACTCTTCATGATGCTCTCTATGTGCCAAATTTTACATTCAATCTTATATCTATCTCAAAATTGGTCTCTTCCATCAATTGCATTGTCCAATTCCTATCCAACCGTTGTGTTGTACAGGACATGCTAACTCAGAAACTGATTGGTTCTGCTGACCTGACAGATGGCCTTTACTATTTTGATTTGTCATTTTCTTCTCATACTCATTGCAACAATTTACCTGTAAACTTTCCTCTACATGTAAATGATAAGACTGTATGTTCTTCTGTTGGGAATAATGACACATGGCATTTCAGACTGGGACACTTGTCTTATTCAAAATTGAATCAATTACATGTTACACCTTCATCATGCATTGACATGCATTCTAATCCATGTGATGTTTGCCACTTTGCCAGACAAAAGAAATTGCCCTTTTCCCATAAGTAATTCTATTGCATCTGAACCTTTTGATTTAATACACTGTGACTTATGGGGCCCTTTCTCTGTTACATCTCATGATGGTTACAAGTATTTCCTCACTATTGTGGATGATCATACTAGAGTTACCTGGATATATCCTTTGAGTGCTAAATCAGATACAAAACAGAGTCTCTATCACTTTTACAACATGGTTTTAAACCAATTTGCTAAGAAAATAAAAGTTTTGAGATCTGATAATGGCACAGAATTCCTTCTAACAGATTTTTACACAAACTTTGGAATCTTGCATCAAAAATCTTGTGTAGAAACTCCTCAGCAAAATGGTAGGGTAGAAAGGAAGCATCAACACTTACTTCAAGTAGCTAGGGCATTACTTTTTCATGCCCACTTACCACTTACTTTCTGGATTGATTGCATCCTTGCAGCTACTCATATCATAAATAGAATCCCTACACATGTTTTGCAAAACAAATCTCCTTTTGAACTATTATACAACAAAAAACCCACTTATGATCATCTCAGGGTTATTGGTTGCCTGGCATA